TATATATATATATATATATATATATTCTCGTCTCATCTGTGTACCTGTCTTAATATTTGTTCACGAAGTTATACTTATCATATTTTAAAATATTAAAACACCTCTAACTCAAGAATTGAATATACAGACGTATGGCTGAAATGTTCTGGTGTACCAAAATAGAGCATTTCCTATTATAAAAAATCTATAGATAGAGCACGTTTTTTCCCAAAGGAAAACATAAGGGTCGTAAGAAGTCAACTTCTGACTTCCAAGGTCCTCACTATAAACATTATGAACAGCTGATCTCACATAAATTTTTCTTCCGAATATCTAGAGGTGATTGATGAAACATTTAACAGCATTAAATCCAAACCAAAAATCAACCAAGATGAACATTCCACCACACCAACCAAACTATTGCAGTTGCATTCAAGCCTGTGAAATTGATATACTCAAATATTATAACTGTCTCCAACCATAACCATAGACGAGCTCACAGCTATTGCCTCAAACAAAAGTCTAAAGTAAAGTACTCTTTTCTGGTTTCAATTCACAGAGGAATAAAAGGCACTGAGTTGACTGAATTTTGGTCCAGTGTTGGTTTACTCAATCCAGAAAGAGTTGAAGGAGGAAGGAAAAAGAAGAGGTTCTAGTCCAAAAGCATAGCATTTTGGATTCAATTAACGGGTTAATCATCACGTAAGACAGACAAAGCTAAAAAGCGTACAGCTTTGGCATAAAAATATAACTTACAGGAGTTAATTAAATAAAAGAAGGATGAAGAGTTGAAGGACTAAAAATCAAATTAAAGGGAGAGGATGAACACGCATTTAAAGTTTACTCCCTTCGACATTCATTATATGACCATAGCCTAGAAAAAAAATTATTAATTTACTGGATCCTTACATGACTGCAGGCAGCATAAATAGCAATTACTTTCTAGCTTCCACATATATAGCAACTAAACTAATGCACCAAAAATAGCTTTCCCATTTATATTTTTCTTCCTAATAAAACTTGAAAAGTCTTTCTCAGAGAAAGGGTTGACAACAGGTTTGGTAACCTGTGGAGGATTAAATAACTAACCATTTTTTGAGCAAAGGAGAAAGAAAAAAACCTATAGCTTTTGATCATTTCAATCTAATAACTTAAAGAATTTCTAAAGATCCTAGTACCTTAAGAAGCCCCTCCACTTTGACTCTGGCCTTTGGGATCCTGAAGAGAAGAATTTGGGGTTGCATCTATACCCTTACTCTCTTCACGTAATTCTGGCTTTGACTTGGGAGAATTATGCTTACCAAAAGTGTCTTCATTATCAGCTTTATTTGATGCAGAATCAGTGGGACTAGTGTTTTTTGGTGAAGAACTTAACTGTTTTTTCTCATTATCAGTCACCTGATTTTTTGCTAGGTTGCTACTTGATTGTTTCTCTGTTCCAACAACAATCTCCTTCACAGCCTCTTCAAGTTTCTCAAGTCTCACTCTCACCTCTGAAAGTTGGGGATCATATTTTTCTTCCTTTTCCTCTGGGGGATTTAGTTCCATTTCTTTTTCTTTTTCCTTTGCTTCTTCTTCTTCCTTCTGCTTCTTTTTCTTCTCAACGTCCTATGAAGTGCTTCGGAGAAAAACCGTTATCAGGGAGGAAAATTAACAATAAAACAGTGTACCATTCATACAATTATTTAAATGTTCAATTACAAATAAAGTACCCACAAATAACAGGTTCATACAAAACATAGAATATATAGTCTAAGAAACTCCAATGTACTTTAAAATAATTCACTATATCTCTCACTAATTCTCAGCAAGTAATATCACAGTGCAGCCACCGCAAGCATTTACAGAATGTAAGGAGTATCAAAGATATAGTTTATACATCATCAGCATCTAGCTAAGAAAATAAAATGGATCAGAACACTGAATAGCCTATACGAGTCTTGTTAGATTGTCATACAAGAAGTTTCATTCCTAAAGGATTCCATAGAAAGTACTTTAGATAGAGCCCTCTGAATTGAATGGTCAGACTATCATGAGTGAATAAGATGATTACAAGCACCTACCAACATTTATACGATGAACGAAAACCGCCCTTATATTACAATACCAGAAAAAGGAAAGATAACTTACCGCCTCCATTTTTCTTATTTCATAACGAGCATATTGTGCCACCAAATACACAGCTGTGTGGAAAAAGAAAAAATCGATGATAACGGTAGAACATTTTGAAAAGAATAAAATAAAACTTTAAAGGGTGAGCATCATACCCAAGGAAGGCAAGCAGGCAAAAAAAAACTGTACAAGATGGAAATCAAACCTGACCAAGAAAAACAGAGATACAAAGTAAGATTTTTTTTCCCTTCCTTACTAACAGTATAAACAAATATAGTTATCTCCCCCTGCCACCACCCAAAATGTAAACTCTTACTTTAGTTTTCGTATAATATACACCCAACCAATATAGTCTTTACCTGGCCTTTAGTTTCACTCTGGTCTGTAACTTTGGAATTCATGATTTGCTTTAGTGAATTTCCACGGCCTTTCTACTAATGTTAAGGACCAATATCAAGGAGAGTCGATTGTTTTAGTTCCTGACTTTAAAAATCATCATTTACATTAATCATTCTCCATTGGGAAAGCTTATTACACGAACTTATTTGGATTTAATGATTACAGAAAGTGACTTATGATCTACTTACAAATTATTTCTTCAACAAAGTTCACAAGTTATCAGAATAAGTTTATGATATAAACTCTAATGTAATTTTTTAATATTAAAAAAATGAGCAAAACTTTCACATGGTGTTTACTTGCAGCTTGAAACTCCCAATTTGTTAGAGAATAAACAGATAGCGGTAGTAAAGCGCAGATAGAATGTATTAAGATCATTAAGTAATGTTATCATCAGTGTTTGGTTCTCATGTGGAAGAAAAAGGTGCAAGGAAAAAAAGAAAGGAAGGTGCTCGACGAAATGCCAAAACAAAAAAAACATAGAATAAAGAAAGAGGGATACCCAAACTTCTTCTTCTTAGGGGGATCGGTGAAAAGGATCTTAGCGGCAGTCACCATGTCGAGATTCTCCAGCTGCCGATACCTTTCGTCGGCGACGATGTTTTTGTTGTCGCCGTTGTTGTTACTGTTTTTAGTTGTTGTACAAAAGGAATAACGGGTTCTGGCGTTGCTGGAGAATGACTTCGCCAGAAACTTGAATCGCTCCGAGGAGCGTAGCCACCTTACTCCGCCGCCAAACATAGGTTCATCACACAAAACGCCCACCACTTTGTTATAATTTCGGATCCACCATACCCGCCCCGTTTCTACTCCCCATCTCCTTTACTGAATTATTTATCAAAAATTGGAAACTATGCGAATTTTTTTTTTCATAATTAAGAGAAAAAATTACCAAAAAAATAATGATAATCGATTATTCAATTCTCTTCTCATTGTTGCTTAACTTCTTTGTTTGCTAATTTATGTAAGTAATATTAAAAAATGTAAGCTTAATTTTGGATAAACTATTTAATTACCATTATTCATTTCATTTCTGTGTTAAGATTCAGCATATCTAAATTACTAATTATATTTTTATATATTTCACAAAAAATAATTGAAATAAACAAGAAATGATTATTTGTTGTTGTCTATAATTATTTAAAGATTTTGTTATGTATTTCCTATGGACAAAGAAACTAATTTTATATTTATAGTAAAAAAAATGTATTTTCACGTTACAATTATTATAACATTGCTAAAACATATTAATATAAAGTTGTTTTGATTAAAGGATAATTTCCAAAATGATTATCAAGCATACTTTGGGATATAAAAATACAAATAGCACAGTTGAAGTAATTTTAAAATTAAAATATAACAGAATTTTTCAATGGTAAAAAATAATAAAATTGTTTATTTTTAGAAAAAAATACACATTAAAGCACTGAAGAATTCAAAATGCAATAAAAAGAAATCATTTTGAATTCTACATTCTTTATCAGTTACATTTTTCATCCATGTAGAACATTAGAAGGTGTTTACAACTAAAATATAATCATAAACTTATAGAAAAAACACATTCATATAGTAACTTATTGTGTGCCCACAAAACTTAAAACGTACAATTATGTGATGTGTTACATATTCTTTTGTGTTGTAATTGTAAAAGGTGTGGATTTGGATCATTGTTTATGCAAAGATATCTTCACTTTAGTTTTTGCTTAAATATACTATAATTATGAAAGGACATCAACATTGTTTCTTTATCCTATCTTTTCATAAAGTTTTTGCGCAACTTATATAAAGATAATAATATTTTTAAAATATTTTTTTTNTAATAAAGCAATCAAATTAGGAAATAAATTGGAAATAAATTTCTGCCTTTCCTTTCTAGAACTCATTTCTCAAGCACATGATACCAAGTTTCTACATTCAGTAACTTTAAGAACCAAATGAACAATCTACAATATACAAATCCTTGTAATCCCAATGATTGCATTTCGGTTGTAATCATGTTTGGATATTCCCAGGCATTGGTATGAATGCTGATGTTCGTAACTGGTATCACAAGCAGAGAGTATTATATACTTTTATAACAGAAGTGAGTACGAAAAGACTGCAATGGAAATTTTGGGCAAATATCAACATCATACACTTACTTTTTTATTGGTACCAATCCAACCATCTAACCAATCTAATCTAAGGGGTTGACAAATTGAAACATAGGCTCTGCAATGGTACTCTACTCATACACCTACTTTTTTATTGGTAAACTTGCCAGCCGATCAACACGGCAAATATCAACATCATACACACACATCCAATATTTTCCTTCAAGCTCTAAACACTCATTCTAATAGGTATTCAATAGAAGCTTAGGTATCTCTATATCCAAACCATCCACAACAAATTCTTGTGTATGATATTTTATTGCAGGAGACATACGTAGTTCTATACTAATAATCATGTTTAGATAAGATTATTTTGGGCAGCACGTGAGAGAAAATGAAAATGTAAAAATTGTATGGAAAAAGCTCCCCAAAGTATATCTTCTAAGCCACTGTTTTGTAACAAGATCAAAATAATTGCATCCATTATTCAGCTGCTCGCTACTACTAGTAATCAAATATTTAAATCACTGTTTATAGATTGCAAAACCGAAATCAAAATCATAAAAGGGGATAAGAATGCAGAATCTATAGAATGGAGAAAAATCTTCCATTAGCAATGCCGTAATTCTATCTTATGTGTGCTATCATTTTTGTTCAAAAACCACAAAAATAATACAGCCATTTCCAATCTCCAGTACAATTTCTTCCAACACTAACTAAAAATCTAAAGCAGAAGTCAACAAAAAACAATGATGTGTAACTGCCTAGATTCACACTTCAGTGACCAAAAATTACAGGAGATTTTATTGAAATTTCAATGTCCTTATTTCCTTTCAATAAAAGACTTGACCATTTGCATCCATCTTACATACTCCGTTTTATCCTTTTGTTTCATGTACTGATGCAAGAAAACAGCAAGTTCATCATTTATGCCCCTTACTTCCAAAAAATCATAAAGGCTGTCTTGCAACGCATCGTCCAATTCCCTGTCAAGAACCAACAGAAAAAGGTGTCATTAACACAATTCCAAATCTAAGCAAACAACCAGGACTGGAAATGAGTGAGTAAACCTACGTGAATTCCGGACCAGCATAGGGCTCAGTTATTATATTCTCATTTGCACGTATGAGCAACTTTTTTATCTCTACACAGTCAGGCCAAGCTGAACACGTAATTTGCAACACACCATCACCTTCTCCCTTGGAGATAGTGACAATTACAGTAATATGCATCTGCATTTCATCAGAATTAATTACACCATCACCGCCTTTTGTTGGAGTTGGAGCAGGAACAGCTCCATCAAACATGGTGACTTCAAGTTTAATGTTTTCATCAGCATGTCGTTTTTCCAATGTAATCCACCGCTCCCCAGCTCGGCCATCCACAGTAAAGGAACCAAACTTCGTAAAAGGCTGTAAAACAAGAGCGGCCATCATAAGAAGTCATGCTCTGAACACGAATACATAGCAGTTCAATTGATACAAAGAAAAACGCTAAATCACTCTTTAATGCACTGTATTGAACACACGACATTACAAACTGAATCTTATTGGGGGGAAAATCACAGAATGTTATAAGCCAAACGATGGTAATTTCGTGGTTTTAAGTAAACTTTATCCGATAGTACGATTAGAAAATTGTTGAAGCTCTGAAACCTTATCAGTAAGTAGAAGTTAGAGGGAAAGGAGAAAAGAAAACGCACCTTGTCGGGAGGAGGAGAGGATTGGAGCTCGTACTGAATCTCGTTGCGGAGGAGTCTCAAAATGTTACCCTCGAAAGCTTCTTTGNTCTAATACTATATAAAAAAAATAAAAATTTACTTTTTATAATCATTTTATCTTTATATTATTTATCAAATGAACACGTAAAATCGTATCTATTTACTATTTACCACACCCACGTGATAACCCGTTAGACCATGATTGTTATCACCCATAAACAAAAAACAACCTAATTAACAACCAATTCTACCACTTTCTTAGGTCAAACTCACTTGATTTTTTCTATGTTGTTTTGACTGACTTAGGATAGAAGATAATTAGTGTGTGCCAAATACCTAATTAAATTCTTTAATGAAAAAAAAGTTGTTAATTAAATCCATTATCATATGTTGATACCCCACTCTCCTTTCCCGGAAATTCATCATCACGCTCTTCTTTTCTTTACTTTAAGATCAAAACTTCATAAAACACTAAATACGAAGCACTCTTCTTAATACATTAATATATATACATGGAACCCCTCACCCATACGCCATAATTATGACCAAACGTTACTTTCTTTCTCTTTACAAATTCTTTTCAACACGATCAGATCCTACACCCAATCCCACACCAGCTCATGCTTCAGGCACAAACGTAATTTCACTCCAATTCCAAAACCTTCATTTATAAATACATTTTCATGCGTATGTAACACACTATATATTCTCCCAATTCACACACACACGCGCGCGCGCACCGCCACCGCCACCACCCACCGCCGTGGAACCCACTAGCTAACACAACCAGGCTTTTCTTCTTTCTCCTCATTCTCGACAACCCATTTTCCATTTCCTAGAAATTCGGATACCCAATTGGGAAAAGCAAACAGCTTTGCAGATACCATACTCTGTGGTGAGAAAAAGCCTCCACCTTCATTTCGTATTGGACTCTGCTTTTTCTTCCGCGTGGAACGGCGATGAAGTAGTTGGCGTTTTGAGCAAAACGCCGCCGCAGAATGCTGTGCAGGAAGAGCTCCAAAAACGGTGTCGCTTCGGGATCGGTCCCGGTGTACCTCAACGTCTACGATCTGACACCGATGAACGGTTACGCTTACTGGTTCGGCCTCGGAGTTTACCATTCCGGCGTGCAAGGTTCGTTTTTTTTTTCTCTCTCTCACTCACTCTCCACCCCTTTTGAATTTCCGCAAGAACCCACCTCAGATCTACGATCCGCAACGAAAAAAAGGTTTATGGGTCGCTCTCTCTCCTCTTTATTCTACCAAAAATTAATTTTTTTTTTTATTTGGTTGTTGCTGTGGTGCAGTTCACGGCGTTGAATTCGCCTTCGGGGCTCACGAGTATCCGTCGACGGGGATATTCGAGGGGGAACCAAGGAGGTGCGAAGGTTTCACTTTCAGAAAAACGATTCTTATCGGAAAAACCGACATGGGGCCCGGCGAGGTGAAGACGGTTATGGAAGAACTCGCCTCTGAATACAGAGGAAACGCTTACAATCTCATCACCAAAAATTGCAACCATTTCTGCAACGCTGCGTGTCTAAGACTCACCGGAAATCCGATTCCAAGTTGGGTCAATCGTCTTGCCAGAATCGGTAAGTGGTAACTCACTATTCACTGTTCACTGCTATTGTCACAACAGCAGCAACAACAACAACGTTAACCCAACAGAACCTGTTTGTTCTTTCTTTTTTTATCAATAAAAAACTTTTAAGTGCTGTCTATTAATCTATTAATCCATTAATCCGTCACCGGTCGTTTTCATCCCAGGTGTTATTGTTTGCTTGCATAAATTTGAAATTTGAAAATCGTTACAGTGTGGTTGTGCTGTTGTTTTTTTGGTGAAATTGTTGTATCTGCAATAAAAATATTCAATGATGTTGGAATTGATTACAAACACGACACCATTCCTAGAAAATTTTAAATATAGTTCTTGTTGACTTTGAAAAACCAAAAGTAGTTGAATTTACGTTGACATGGATGAATTGACGTGTTTTGCAGGTTTTTTGTGCAACTGTGTTC